GCTCGCCTCAACGTCAGCTCCATCTCCTCTTTGATTTCCCCCCATCATTCTCATCATTAGAGGCTGACACACAGTCAAGCGGGCTCGCGAGCAGACAGCCGGGCCAGACGGGGCCCGTGGAACGCATTGATGCGCACGAGAAGCTTTTCAAGTGCGGAGAGGCTGACCTTCCAGGAGAGCGAGGGCAGCTTCTCAACACACAGCCTGAGCCTCGACGCCGAGGATACCTACAGAGTGCTGTGTATATATGACACAGCATGGCTACCGCCTTGTAGACACCACATCAAGACCGGAGCGTCCAAACCGATGTGTGTACGGTCCACAGCAGGACCGGCTTCCTCCTCGGCATCGGATGGTGGATGCCCGGCACCTCCCGTCAAGCTGCTTGAACCGCGCAACGTCAAACATCGCCTCTAGACAGGCCGCGCATGTGGGCTCGCTCAGTCACTTCACTGAGCTTGCATCATTTGTCAGAGAAGGGATAAATATAGCATAGAGTGGATAAAAAAACACCAGGTGGAAAGGGTGTGCGACATTGAATGTTTTTAAGAGGGGGGGGTCTCAGAAAAGGATGTACCAATCATCCGCAGTATATCTTGCCTTAAAAAAAAGGCAAAAAGTCAATGTGAATATCGTAGGATGAGTAAGTGTAACTCCTGAAATTCTTGTCCACGTTCTTATCATAAAAATGTATGTAACGTTTTATTTGGGGTAAAAAATAATAATAAATCCAATGACCCAGCCATTCTCACATCAGAATGCATAAAAGTAAAAAAAAAAAAAAAAGAATCTCTACTGAAATCGCATTGCTTTTTAGTCAACTTATTTTCAACTTGCCTCCTTTTACATAATTCAAGTAGCTTGACAATCCAATTTCATGAGGGAAACTGTCTGCAATACAACAACAACCAATCCAAAACCCTTACAGGGAGGTAGCAGAGGTTAAACAGTGGTGAAACACCACGGAACACCATGCCAAACGAACAAATTCAAGCCAATTTGACTTAACATCATTGAAGAACTTTTCACTTTAATTTCCAACTTTTAACAAATTGGTTTCATGAAAAAAAAACAAATGATATGAGACGTTAGTGGGCGGCATGGTGGTGTGGTGGTTAGCACCGTCGCCTCACAGCAAGAGGGTTCTGGGTTTGAGTCCCCGGGGGAACCAGGACCTTTCTGGGTGAGTTGGCATGTTCTCCAGGTTCTCCGGCTTCCTCCCACCGTCCAAAAAACCTGGATGTAACGTCGATTGGAAATTCCAAACTGCCCTTAGGAGTAAGTTTGAGTGTGCGTGTGCGTGGTTGTCCGTCCTTGTGTGTCTCTGTGTAGCCCTGCAATGGATGGCGGACCGTCCAAGGTGTAGCAGTCCTCCCGTCACCCAATTAGGGAATAAACAGTTTCGAAAATGGATGAATGGATGGATGGGACGTTAGATATTTGTCTAAAATACTGTCAAATGCATATTCACCTAATTTGTCCTAATGAAGTAAAATAATGCAGATATAATTATTTCTATAAATCTAATCATTTCTGCCGCTTTTAATGCAATCCCAATGTGTTTTGGGCAAACGGATAAACATAACTGTTATTCTTAATATGGATGTGTATGGTTGCATATGAAAGGGAACAGAGTCTGCACGTCACAGTGAGTGTAGATGTTTTTCCACCGTTTTGAAGAGCTGTCGTTTTGCACCCTGCTGGGTAACTTGCAATTCCATTTAAAATGAGCCGTAGACTCAAGTAGGGGAATGTTGCCAGTCTGCGTATGCAGTTGTTTGTGTACTTTGTCAGCGAACGTGTGTCAGGGTGCGAGTGTGAATGCGAGTGCGTTTGTGGCTTCAAGTCACCGGGGATGCGTTCTGACAAGTGACGCGCTGCACTCCAGAGAGCTGGAGGGAGACGATTGTCTAATTCAGGCTACGCTGATAACTGAGACTAGCAGGATGAGATCCGGGTTTTCACTCTGTCAGTTGGAAGCTCAGTGCGTCATCTGTTATCCTGTCAGGACGAGCAGTGAGACGTGGGACCACGACGGAGGATGACAAATTTACTAATCGTGGTATCTGCTAGTCAAAGATTCTCAAAACGAGCAGTTTCAAACACTCGATTTACCATCTAATTATGCATGAAAAAATAAGCACAAAGCTTGAAATTCATCGGGGAATATCACTTGCAAGTGAGACATCTTTAAAATTGCACAAACAAATTATGCCTAGACTATACTAAGATGCAAGTTCCTTCAGAATTCTTTCAGTCCACAAGTTAACTTTCTCTCAACAAAGCAACAGATGTCCAATTCCTGAACCAACACAACTCTATTTTCCCCACACTTAAAAGACTTTCAAAGCTATGTGAATCTACTCTGTTCCTGTCACCTCTACAATAAACAGAGTTCCCCTGACAGAGGGGAAAGAAATGTGATTTATCTACAGTCATAACAGCAAACCCAACCAAGGTTATCCCTCTCCATTAGAGCAACTGTTAGTCTACCCAGATGTACCTATAGTCTCTCATACCTTCCATATGTCTTGTTGAAAAAGTGGGACGGATTTTTTTTTTAAATTTCAGATAATTGAAAAAAGAACTCCACTACTTCTCTTGCCAATTTGTCTCCTTGGATCATACCATTATCGTGGCAACTGCTCAGGTACGAGTAGCTAGCTCTCACACAGCTGACATTTAGCCACCATCAGCACAGTGGGACAGTTTTGTGGATAAGCAACACAATTAAACGTTTTCCATTTCAGAATATCATCTTTCACTCTTGTGAGAGGTATATGAGCATGCCCCAAATGCGTGCCAGTAATGTCCGCTGTCACATCACCCCCTCCCCCACCCCCAAACTCTCTCCCATCAGTCTGTTCACATTGAAAAGTAATAAAGACTCACCTTTGTGAAGCTGCATTCACTAAATGATTCAGCGCCACCTGCTATTTAATTCACTTTAATGCCCACTCTTGAATTTGTTTAGAGAGCTTTTACTTCTTTTATATATGTATTTAAAGGGCTGACGGAAATAAACGAGGTTCCATTTGAACATCTGCAGAAAAAGAAAGACGAAAAATGGAAATGTAAATACACTTCAAGTGTATGTGCTTTCGAACTTGGATTCAGAGAAAAAAAAAGAAAAGAAGAATGATGCATTTGACATTTTCCTTCAAATATTCAGGGATGATTCAAGATCACCATAAAAAGGCAGTGTCACACCAGTCCAGCTGACATGGTGCGATTTGGGGGAGAGGGGGGGGGGTCCGAAACATTTTGGGTTTTTCACGACACACTTTTAAACACAGACCAAACTACCCAGACACAAATCTCCAGCTTCTTCAGTCTGCTTGGTCACAAGAAAAACATAGAAAAGAGCAACGCCAGATTAAAGTATTATCATTTA